TACCCCACACACACCACTAGTTGAACCAATGTTGTTATGTAGAGCCCAGCTGGCCAATCACACAGATTGCAATTCCTACTAGGGACACATACATTACACAATTATTCACTTCCATAGAGTGCTGCAGGGATGGCCAAACCCTAAAACAAGTTACCATTTCTATTTTGTTTTGTTTTTTAATGGTATTTGGTTAAATGCCTGCCATAAGGTCTGTCGTTAGCATAACCACCAGTGACATAAAAGTGACATTTCCGGCTGATGGATTACCCCCTTGGTCTACATGCTCCATGGAAAAGAGGGATGGAGTGAGCAGTTGTTCATTACCATTTAAAGAGACATGCACCAAAACATTTGAACAGAGCTGTTTTTGAGGAGGTAAAAAGGGTGTTGTTTTACACAACCATTGAGGAATTTTAACCAAAGTATGTTACAAACTTTACATGAAGACCCTAAAGAATCATCCGATGACCCCTTTAAATGCAAATGAGCTGCTGCTCCCTGCCCGCGTTTAGAAGAGAGCGATTCTCAAGGGCGTAGGAACGTCTTTGACATTGGGGGGGGGGCATACTGGCCACTATGAATCAACGTCTATCCCACCACCATAATAGTAACATACAGTTTGGTGTTGTGGTACATGCAGCGGCGGTCTGTTTTTGGGGCCCCCTCCCACTACGTTAAGTCACCTGTGCTTGACCATTATTGACACAAATGTCACGCAATAATGATACATTATAAATGAATACAGTGTTAATAGAAAATAAATACTTAATAAAAAAAATAGATGCCAACTTAAATAAAAAAGTTTTAACTTTAACTTTACTCTTTTACTAACTCTTTGAAACTTCTTAAAACAAACCGTGTCAAAATATATATATAAAAAAAATATTTGCTAAAATAATGACAAAGCTGAGAAATCAGAAACAAAATAAGAGCAAGGGTTCAATAATGACAATTATTGTTGAAAACTTTAAAAATATTATTATTTCTCAACTTTCTTAATACAGTGTAACTGTCCTCAAAATCTTTATTATTATTATTATTGTAACAGACTTTTTTGGATTGTAAATGACATAATCCAACAAAGTCTGTTAACACCGGTAATGATGTACTAGCGCTCCTTGTATGTGTGTATGCAATGTATTTTTCCCCTCGGGGCTTGCCGTAGATGGGTCGTGCGCACTTGGTACGGTCGCGGGATGTTGCAGTTAGTGATCTGATGTGTGATATAATAATAAAGTGGAGAAGAGTTCAAACTGCTGTGTTTATTATTTATTCCAACTGCAAACAAAGGTATGTGATATTATAAGTAACATGGAGCTAATAACAAAAATAACATTGTCAGATTAGATAAATCATGTAGGTTCCAGTTCAAAGCTGGTGCGTTTCTAGTGTAATGTTAACTTCTCTCTACCAATCAGATGCTCCGGTGAGTGAAATATATGAAGCAAATGGTGATTATTCAAACATAAAATGGGAAGGTTTAACTGGGTTTAATGGTTTAACCTAACTATCACTCTGGGTTTGACTTGCTGGCAAAACTGGATATCTTCTTTGTCGCGCTTTAAAAATAAAAGTTTCAAATGCATAGTTTTTGTTCCTGTGGTAGGTTAGGTAACGTATGGAATTTTTTTGGGTGGGACACAAGCCACATTTTTTTTAATATTGAGGGTGACACGTCCCCCCCGGTTCCTACGCCAGTGGCGATTCTTTACATTATGGAATTAATTTTGAGCCATAGCCTACGTTTAGATTTGTACTTGTATTTAGGCTTCAGAACAAAACATGTGAGAATCAAACTTTTGTTAGTCACAGAGCTTGAGTTGTACATATCTCCTCTCACCTGATAGATGGCTTCGTCACAAGCATTCTCCAAAGCTAGGTTTACCATGGTGTTTTGAAGGGTCCGACCCATGTAGAATTCCAGAGAAAGATAGTACACACGCTACAAGTCGAGACAAAGAAGAAAAAAGGGGAAAAACAGTCATGAAAAGGGAATAAAAAATAAAAAAAGAAGAGCATTTTTTAAATGAAAGTGTTTTTTTCATACTTCACATTAACAGCTGAGAGCCATTTAGAGCAACAGTAAAGTAGGAGACATAAAAGCCCCTGCTGAGCAGACAAATAATAGTGACAAATAATATTGTGACAGGTGCAGAACAAAAGCCTAATCTGTATTCCACGTCTTGAGACCTCATTGACCGCCAAGGCAAAACATTCAATCGTTGAAGGTTGTCCAATGACACAACTATCATGGAGGATTTGCTAGTAAACAAAAGCTAGCTGGTTATATTTCAGTCTCTTGGCTATAAATGATAACAAAGGTTAGGAAAGAGGGTTTGTGTGCTGAGTGTCTGGCACATGTAAAAATAGCAGCATTAGCTGTCAACTGTCAGGATGCCAGCCACCCAGATAAAGATGACACAAATTCCAGATACAACAGTATCCTACCCTTCGATCATTTTTTTTTTTACTTCAAGTATTTATTATTTTTTTATTGACTATTTTTAGAAAATATCATTTTAAATTTCCTGTAGGAATTGGGTAAGCTTCGATTTTGTGATTACAATGCGTTCCTTTCCCAAAGCAAAATTACAGTTTGGGATTTATGAGTAAAATCATGTCTGTGGTGGTAGATATTACTAAGTTGATAATGAGGGCTAAAATGGTTGACTATCTTATTCATATCTTTGATTTTTAATGAGAATGAAAGCGAGGCTGTGAGGTATAGTCATGCATCTCTTCAATGGGCTGTACTGTTATTTAACGTGTTTTCGGATTGTTCTGCTCATGAAACACTGGAAAAATATCTTTCCAAGAAATTTCAGTTGACAAAAAACTCCTGACAATGTAAGCTGTGGAAAATTGTAAGTAATATAGGAGCTTTATTCAGCTTTTTACAGCGGATGCCATTGGAAACACGGTAAGTCTACCCCTCACAGCCTCATTTTCATACCTGTCATGGTGCTGCTCTGAATAAGGTCTATAGCCTTCTTGTGACAACCAGCCTTCCCCTTTCAAGGTTTTAGGACTGGGCGACAGATTGAACGTTGTAAGATGGAAAGGACCAATCACAATTATGTATGCAAATGAGCACAAGAAAGAAAATAAATCACAATGAGGTAGGCTACGCATCAATTATACTGACAATAAGATGACAACAACATTGTTTTCAATAACAACAAATTTTTTTATTGTAATTTAAACGTGTAACGTGTAACGTCTGAAATTATGTAAAAAAAAAATCAATAACGTTTTCGTCTGGAATGAGTAAACTTATTCAGCGGTTCAGCGTTGCAACCTGAAAGATGAAAGATGGGATTACACATTTTTTTTTTTTTTTTTTTTTTTTTTGCTACTTGTTTAAATACAAGAATGTGCACATATATGCCGTAAATAACTCGCACTCAACGATTCAAAAATAATCAGACCTGTTGATACTTGTCTAGGGCACATAGAAAAGCTCTCCATACATTCTGCGAGCATTGAATTGAAGGCGCTCCTGACATGGAGAGATTATGTAATTATTAAAAAAAAGCCCTACCATCTGCTGAAACATTAGCATTAAACGTCATTTCCTTGTGCAATACAAAAACCTCAATATTAAACAGGGATATAAATGTTTCTTTATACATTTTGCAATGTTGCTACTCTACTGCGCAACATAATGTCCTCTAAAGTGTGATCCGACCCCGCCTCCCTCCTGTCAGTGGTGTACGTGCATGCGGCCCCGATCTGTAGGATGAAACTGCGCATTCGAGTTTCTTACCTTAGGGTCTTTCTCGTAGTAATGCTGCTGCGTCCGGATCCATCTTCCCACCAAATGGTCGCGCACGGTGTGCGCCAGTGCGAAGTAGTAGTCGCGCTTCGTTGCAACATTTCGGTCCTTAACCAAAGTAAAATGCAGATGGCGATTAAAATTGGTCTTGAGCTCCGAGACGTTTTCAACCCCGGCGAGACCTCGCACGGAAATTTGCTTCCTCTTCTCTTGGTCCGTCAATGGCTTGGACATCTTGTAGACTGATATATAATAGTGGGTTTCGTGCAGGAATATAAGTCTACGAGACTATGTGATGCCTGCTGCGTGTGTTGCGACTGTTTTTTTTTTTTTGGTACAGTCTATGGTTGTGAAGCGCGTCACCGTGATCTCCAGCTGATGCTTCAGGGTCAAGCGCGCTCATTGGCGGCGCGCACACTCTCTCTCTCTAAATAGGCAATATACATGACTACTGTATACAGGCTGGGCGGGCCATAATAAATGTAGGCAAGGCAAGTTTAATTATAGCACATTTCATACACAATAAATGTAAATTTAAAGTACTTTACATTAAAATGTTTGTTTAAAGCATAAAATAATCCTAAAAGGTGTTTAAGAAATAATAAAACACATTTAAATATAGATTAAAAATAAAGAATAAAATCGAATAATAGTTCCCAGAAGACAATTGTGAAATACAAATACAAATAAAAACTTAGCTGAATTGGCACACTGTCACTGCTATCCGAGGTGACAGGACATGAGAAAAATGAGAAGTTTGAGGGTGCAGTAATCTCACATTACTCACAAAGTGCTAACAAATCTTTCTAAAATTGACAGTGTTTGTTATTATTAGCCAACAATGTCCTCAGGGAAACCTTCTATGAGCCACTGTACTACTGTTACTGTGGTCTCATGTTTTAGCAGTAATCCACATTTTCAGACTGCACTTTTATCTTCTTATACTCTATGCACAACAGGTGTTGTGCCGAATTTTGAACCCCTGCCAAATTATTTATTATTAGTAATAAATTACTGGGGGTCGAAATCCAGCACAACACCAGCGGTGAGTGACAGCCTCTTCAAACACTGACCAAGCGCGCTGTGCCGTGTCAAAGTACAACTCACATAATGTTATTATTTCTGCGAATAACTGCAATTGCAGATTCCAAACAGATATGGCGACAGACTAAAAACTGCGGACTGCAGGTTTAACAAAACCGATGTGAAAGATTGATACCAACAATTCAACACCATGCCAACTTTTATTTAGTTGAATGCTTCATTACAAAAATATTGAAATACATTTGGTGGAAGGCATTAATGAAAAGTTATTTTAAATAAAAACAATTGTGGGGAGGGGTGGGGGTACAAGGTGAGCACAAATTAGGCTATACTGACCACCTAATAGAGTAAGCCAATCATCTACAACATCTTGAAGACATAAATGTCTTTTTATACTATGCAGCAACAAATGCACAGTTGGTTAAGAGTGTAATACACTAGTTACACCTGTTGGAATGTTGCTAACTGAATCGTAAGCAGATGTCATTTTTACTTCCTGGAGACGGTTTGAAATGAAACATGAAATAGCAGGCTGGCAGAAACAAAAACAAAACACACATTCCCTGCACAACATCATTTTTGAACAAATATTATCCTAACAGTTCAAATACTACAGTTAAAAATCATTAACAATTGAAGCGAATTTACAAATAAATCACTTACACTCTCTTACACTCTCTCTAGCTCGATTTTGAAGTTTGAACCGAGACCAATCAATAGAAAGAAAAAAAATAAACCTTTAGCAACTAATCACATCAAGCTGTTAAATGAACAGAACAGGGTATAGTCCTGTGATGTATCTTTGTATATATTTTAGGCATCACTGCATGGTCACAGAAACTAAATTGAGCCTTTAACTCTGGGGCGGAGGGGGTGGAGGTGCAGGAGGCATCCCGTACGGTGGCATACCGGGAATCCCCATCATGGTCACAAAGTTAGGGTCCATGGGTGGAGGTGGGGGAGGAGGTGCATACATCATGCCTGCTGAGCCAGGTGGAGGGGGTGGAGGCGGTGGGGGGGCACCAGGAGGAAGTGGGGGCTGGACCCCAGGTGGAGGCGGCACCATAGAAGGGGTACCCATGGGCGGAGGGGGCTGAGCAGCTGAGGTGGCTGTCTGCTGAGGCTGTTGCCAGGGTGGCAGGTTTCCAGTGGCAGAAGTGGATGTGGTGGTTGTATCTGGAAAAGCAAAAAAGAAAGTAAATCAGTGACTAAAGGAAAACCTTTATTGATGTCAAATGTGTACTACTGTAATACACTTACTCTGTTGCCATGGCAGTGGAGCACTGGTTGCCATGCTGGTGGGTGGTGGGGGAGGGGCCTGCTGTTGCCATGGTGGCAGAGGTCCTGAGGGTGGAGGTGGTGGTTGGTTGTTGGGGGGAGGTGGAGGTGGGGGCATCATACTCATGGGTGGCGGCAATAAACCTGATCACCAGGCAAGGGAGTAAAACAATGAGCTTTCTGGAAAACTAAGTATACAAGTATGAAAGCAAGCATACTTCAATATTACCAAACACAGATGTTAGTTGGGAGTTTTGGGGTAAAATAATCTCGGATAAAAACAGAAGCATTTGTCCTCTGATAAAGATAATTATGTACTTCCATCTTTCCAGGGAAATGTTTTAATTCACTTCATTAAGCAAAAATTGCATGACTGAAAGTCTAAACCTCAAAGGCTATACTCACTCATGTGGTGTCCGGGTGGTGCTGGGCCTTGGCCCATTGGTGGAGGGGGCGGCTGCATCCAGGGTGGTGGCATTCCATTGGGGTTTGGTGGCATAGGAGGAACACCCATGTTTGGCATTGGTGGAGGGAAGTTATGAGGGCCACTAGGACCCTGGTGCATGCTGTGGAAATTCCTGTTATCAGCAGGGCCTGAATTCATCCAAGGAGGACGATTCTGCAAGGTGTTTGAGAGAGTTTTTGTGAAACAAAATAATAGGTATATTCAGCAAGGATACATTTCATTGATCAAAACTAACAGTAGAGAAAACCATTTAAAACAAATCCCTTTCTCTTGATCAATTCAAAGAACCCTGAAAAAATATATCACTGTTTCCAACTGTTCCAAAGTGTTTCTTGAACATCAAATCAAGCATATTAGACTATCTACAATACAAAAAACTAACATTAGAACAGTAATGCATGTGTGCATATCATGAAGAATTGTCTGTCTTTGGTCTTACTGGTGGTTGTTGGTTGTTGTTGGGTCCTGATGAACGAGGTCCACTATTGGGAGGATTGTGGCCACCACCGGAAGAAGGGACTGGAGCCTCTCCTAATTCTGCCATGAGAGACAAGTACTCTTTATCCATACGGGCCTTATCCTGAGCAGACTGGGGTGGTTCGCCTGGCCGGGGAGCAAAGGAACTGCAAGGAAGAGAAATAAAATCAACCCTGAAGTCTGAACTTTACTTGACATAACCAGAAGGTGCTAAACTTCTTGGAGGGGATTTTTTTTAATATAATAAATAATTGTCTGATCTCTGGTGGATGGGCTTACCTGGTAAACTTGCAGTCAGATGAGATGTGACCTGCTCCTCCACACTTTGTACAGACAGTTGTGTTTGTGATGCTGCGAGGCTCTGTGCTCTGCCATGGGCGCAAGATCCTAAAAGAAAAAAGTACACAGTGATGAGTATAAAATACACTTACAACATTTACTCGCCTGTTGCTCTGAGAAAAGGGTCAATAAGTCTGTGGGCAGTCTCCCACCTGTTATCATCCTCTCTAAGAGTGCCATTGAGTCGTGCCAGCTCCCTCAGTTGCATCTTTCTTAGATCGTTCTGGTCCTCAGGGGTCTCAATGCCCTGCTTGAGGATATTACGGATCTGTGGACAAAAAGAAAGCACTTAGAAACACGCAGTAGAATGATTGAAGCCGATAGTTATGCATTTTCATTAAACTGATTTCTAATGTGTTTTAGAATTCCAGGTGCAAGAACGTCTGAAGACGACTCACCTGCTCTACGGCTTTCTTCACATTTTCCATGGTGTTAGCAGTGACCAGTGCGTGAAGAGGTTCATCTTCTCCTGGAAGCATCTGTCCATCCTTACGGCCCACCTTCCCTTCCTTCACTGAACCTTTACCACGAATCATGATTTTAGCACAGCACTCCTTCTCAATGTTCTTCAGAGTGTTTCCACTGGAGAAACAAGCAATAGACCAAGTTATTTTATGTAGAGACTATGGATTCAGAAAACATTGAGTTTAAAATCATGCAACTTACCGTGGCCCAATCAAAAGCCCAACAAAGTTGATCTCTGGATATTCATCCTGAGGAATCATCACCTTATCACTAACCCGAGTAGCTGGTGGTCTGAGTAAAAAGAAAAACAAGTCAATATCAGACACCGTAGAACCAGAGAGAAAAGAAAATAATTTGTACAAGCCATACTTGTAGTCAGCAGGGGGTTTGAATTCAGGGTTCAGCCCCACCATCTCTGTGATGAGAGAATGCCTCTCTTCCTCCAGTTTCTTGCGTGTACGATATTCACGCGTGTTAAGCCTCTTGCCCTCACTGTTGTAGATGGGCTCAGGAGATGGAGATCTGTGAAGAGGAAAGAACAACAGAAAGATGCAGCACAGTCAAAACCATAACACAGTACTTATACCCTCAACAGTTAAACATTCAATGGCTTGCCTACTCTTAACTGACATGGTTTGACTTGTTCTGTGGTCATTTAAAAACAAAAAAAGTGCATGGGATGCCCCGGAGTGCTCAAAATCTAATGAGACGAGAGCGAAATAAAAATGGCCACTAGAAAACTTATTGAACATTTAGAAAGGGGGAAAAAAACTTCAGATTAAAGAGCTTAAAGCTAAGAAGTAAAACTTTTTTTTTTTTTAAAGGGCGAAAAAACTTGGCAAGGAGCCCACTAAATTTGAACATTAATAAAACGTGTCTGTCTCAATATTATTTGGGGGATGAAAAATAGGACAAATATCTGAGACAAATGGGGCAACCAACACACTTGAAGAGCTTCTGTTCTTGAACGCTGATCTAAACCTCCACACGCCCTGACAGAGCATTCAAACGGTTACCTTCCCCTTGGACGGTGATGAAAACCTGTCAACCTGCACAACGAGGCTCTGTGCTTGAAAAAAGTTACGAGGGGGAATTTGGGTTAGAGAAATAAATTTGGATTAAATATTAACCTTCAACAGCCCTCAAACAAAACAGCCACACAAACGTGACAGGTTCATGATAGGCAACCCGAAGAGGAGAAAAGTGGGGGAAAAAAGAGGGAAGAATTTTCTGCTGGTTTTCTTTGGGACTGATATCTCCAGCGCTGACAACCTGAAGCACCCCCCAGCTTTGTTTTGCGAGCTGGAAGTTGATGAGCGATCGATCCTAAATCCTGGAGTGGATAGACCTTTAAGAAGAACCTTTTTAGAGGTGGCGGTGTAAAAACGTCGGATTAAGATTCAGCCGGAGAACCTAAGGCTGTTCAGAGATTAAGGGGTGTGGCTACTAATAAGACACTCTCACGTCAGAAACATGACATTTCCTGCTATGTTGAATGCTTATGAATTCTATGAGTGGCCAAAGTGATCAAAGTGTTAAGGTTATGGTTATTCCAGAAAGAAAAGGTCAGAGGAGTCTCCTCCGAGTGGTCTTCCAGTGCGGAAATCTGTAATACTGTGGAAGTTCCTGGACAAAATGGTGCTTGCCCCATTATGGAAAACCATTATTGACCATCCAATTAATCAACCATTCAGATTTTTAGATTTAAGGACACGGTTGTGTTCATTAACTGCATTTCGGAGGTGAGAAAGATGGGGCATTTAAAATGCAATATAATCAAATGAAAAACAAAATTCCTTAAATGGCTTAAATAGTGGATTAAACAAACCTACTATCTTAGACTACAGGAAATAGGGCTACACTGGGATAATAAATTCTACACAAGCCTTTAAAATACATACGTTTCACAGAAAATAAACATGCATGCAATCAAAACGAATACTTAAAAAAAAAAAAAAGTTACTTAAAGACGATCAAGATTAGCATTGTTTATATGACTGCACATTGCTTTGGTAAAGTTGGTTGCTATGTATTATCAACAATTAGTCCTCACTAGTGTTGTCACGGTACCAAAATTTCAGCATTCGGTACCAATACCAGTAAAAATTCACGGTTCTCGGTACCAATTTCGGTACCAAAGCTTAGTTTAAATTTACATATATTTAAGTGTTTATCACGGTTACAAGTATGGAAACTGTACATTTGTATTATAAACACTTTAGAAAAAAATTTGATAAAATGACCTAAAATAAACAATAGTGTGCACTAACACATTTTTAAAGTTGTTTGTAAAGTTCTAATCCGTTAACATTTATTTAATGCACAATGAATGAAGTGAACAAACATGAACAATCAAGTGTTTCTATTAAATAACATTTACAAACATTAATTAATGTTGTAAAAATATATTGTTCACTCAATGTGTTGATGTGAAGTAGCTAATGTTGATAAATGGTATCTTATTGTAGCATTACCAAACTATAGGCTACAGGAGAAAAAACATGTTTTATTTGATTTGACTGTACTTTTATTTAATCTAAAACTGCATTCATATTTAATTTTGAAAAGGCTTTTTAAACCTGCTGAGTTATAAAGGCAAGAATACGCCTAGATCTGGCACTGACATTAAATGACATAAATAGGGATGCGTCAATACTAATACCAGTACTCTGGTGTCGGGTGGATACTACTGTGCTCATGTACTCGTAAAACTACCCCGAAAGCACTTTAGAGGCCGTTCACATATCGCGCGTGTTTTTTTATTATATTTTTGCGCGTCCTTATTCTTTCCAAAGCGATTGCTCTCACGCGGCGTCTGTCGTTGCTATGCAACGAGTTTTTATTAGGAGCGCGCTTGCCTCGCGCCTATATTTGAAATTGCGAATTTGCATGTAATCGGCCTCTTATGGCAACGTGACATTAGCCTAATCCAAAATATTTCCATATGTGGCTCTTTCCTCCTTTCGTGTCAACAAGTGGATTCAGAGAGAGCCATATCAGCGTTATGAAGAGGACGCAACTGTGCACCTTTCAGACAGCGAGTCTAGAACTGGATTAACCTGGTACTCGGTACCTAGAAAAGCTGGTACCGTAACATTTTTTTTTTTTTTAGTACCGACTTGGTACCGAAGTACCGATTTTTTTGACAACACTAGTCCTCACTGTCATAAGATACAAAGTAACTTCAAATTTGAGGTTACACTGGCTAGTTACCAGGGAACACTAACTGAATGGAAAAATCTGATCTTTCTTATGACAATATCCTACCAAGATAGCCTTCAGTCATTTCTTTGCCTCTGTGTACAGAACAGATCCAAACATTTCTCTGAAATTCAACTAAGCATTTCAAACACTAGAATGTTTAAACATATAACAAAACCAATTTCCTTTCAATCAAAACATTTTCTAAACTCTTTTACTAGAAGGCAAAGATATGAAGTCATTTTAGACAAAGGCATTCAGACTTATTTCTTACCCTTACAACACTTACGATCTGGCCTCACAATAAAATGGCGCATTAAAAAGGTAAAGAAAATGTTACTGTTGTTGGGTTTAAATCGTTATTCCGACCTGTCCTCAGGGTTAACAGGGATTCCCAGGTCTCCTGTACGCAGTTTACGTGTCAGGTCTTCAATCTGCAGTTGGACTGGAAGAAATCAGGTTAGGAAAGAAAAAAACAAGGATGGAGAGAAATGTGGTTAACAACAAAAAAACCCCACAAAAGCAGAAAAAGTACACTGTAAAACTCAATGTGACTATGGTTAAGCAAGGAAAAACATTTTTTACCAAGGTAATTGTCCGTTCATTAAGAATCACAGTCAACTGAAGACTTTTGATTCTCTGCAACACATTTTCTGAAATACTGCAACCCCGACAGGAATTTTAGAAAACAACCTTGTTTGAACTTTAACATGTGAGCCCATACAGATTTCCCAAACATTTAGAAAATCAAATATCAAGGTTTGGCTAACTTACGATTCAAAAACCTGGGGGGGATTTCAGTGAATAACCATTTCAGAAAAAGGTTCATTGCAACAGGCTTTCGATTTCATGCCACCAACATTGAAAAGTGAACACACTAAAATTCACATTTCAACCATACACTTAAAACATTAGTTCACATACTATTTTCACAGTGAGCTAAAAAGGTGGCAAAACATGAAGGCCTGTCAGGGGTGGGGGAGTGGGGTTTGAAGAAATCAAAAATCATATTGGCTAAGTGGCTTGAGCAACTGCATCCTCAAAAAGATTGAAATGAAGTTTAGAGAATAACACCAGTATAACTTAAAATAAACATTATTACTCTATAAAGAAAAAAAAAATGGACATATTGGGTGTTAGTGACCCTTAACCAACTTCAATAACATTCAACACTCAAGTTTTTTGGTTCACTTACCAACACTAAACAGTTAGGACAACTGAGATCTAATATTTAGAAATGATTAGCCAACCAGACCAGCCTTTAGTTGATGTTTTTTTGTTTTTCATGCTAAAGACTAGGTTTAACTAGGCATCAAGCCACAGCAACCAAATCAGCCTGTACAAACGCAAAAACTGACCTGTATCACTCATGGAAGCATTTAATGGGTTTTCACATGCATTTATCCATGACATGCTTAAGAGAATCAGACCCCACAGGTCACACGTTGAATGGTGCAGGTTGATGGTAGGTAAAGGACATGAGGTGTCAGTTATCAATAGAGGACTAGTTAAGGAGATGTAGGTCACATTATCATTGAAACCACCACTACATCACATGCCATTGCAAAACAAGTGCCTGACAGCAATGAGAAAGCAATTTACTACACACTGCTTTCAGACACAGGGTATGGAGATGACTTTCGCAATTCAGTGTTGGACCTGCATTGCTTTGCAGTCAAATTGGATTTAAAGACATTTTGCATAGTAAACATGAGCAGTGATGGAGTCCTGCAGCTGGAGACAGTTCACAGCAAGCAGCCACATCAGAAAAACACTGTGGGTTCTTGCTAATGGACATCAGATGGTAAGCAAACATTGACAGTACTACAAATACCTCAGTGCTTCCCAGACAAATTAAACGTCCTCACATTGCACATCGATGGAGTTAGTACATTCTAGTGAACATGGGCAAAGTGCTGAATTTCGATGGATGGACTTCGTTGAGAAGACCATCTCTAATACATATGAGACATATAGAGATGGCCATTTTGCACTGTGACTTTCAGATCGAGGGTTAGCAAAAAACCAAATGGTTATCCCATTAATAGACATCAATTATGTCAACAAAGAAGTCAGACTAACGAAATTCAGCAATTACATCCTGCATGTGATGTGCAAATTGTGAGGAAATAATAAAACAATTTTTGGGGACAAAAAAAGTGAGTTGTCTAGGGGTAAACAGAATTCCCACCCCAATTCACAAACACAATGTTACGCAACTTAAACGATTTGACTCAAGACACACATTATAACATCAGTGAATTTAGATGCTCACCTATATAAGCTCGTTCCTGGTCCCGAGTCAGCCCGGGAGGGATCACGGTGGGCATGCCCGGGATGACGGTCTTCTGATCCGGCGTCTCACTGCTCCAACGACTCCTTTTCCTCTGCTTCTTCTGGCAAAAATCTAACAGAGAATGTTAGATGGTGTCATTGCAGTCCATATAAACCTACAGTATCATTTGATTTGTAAGTTTTTTATGCCTCTAAATTATCAAATCTAAACATTTCTGCAAAAAAACGATTGTACACAATCTACTGTATGCCTTCTGCCCTTTGATTGATCAGTCATACTTAACAAGTAAAAGGAAATTCAACCATGAAAATGTCAACCATGTGTCTATTTGCAGTGAAATCATGAAAGTTAATTTAAGTACAAAAATGTAATTGTCAGGGATACATTTTATCTTAAGACTTTTTTTGAGAGATACATAATGACAAATAATTTTTGGCAAATAAATAATCCATCAATGATCCAAAACGGCTATTTTGCTCAGATTGGGCCTCTGAATATGTATCTAGTAATACACAAAACAAAACATGCATGCAATGAACTCACATAAAGTCTATTATATGAGCTACACTAGAGCTTCATGCACTGCAGAGTCTAAAGCTTTTTATTAGACAATTCCATTGACAAAACAAGAAATCAAAGACTAAAGAGCTCAATTAATAAAACCACAACTATGGAACAGGCCGTTGGTCCTGACAGTGTCTCAGGCCTGTCCACGCTGTTTACCTCCACTCCCCGACTGAGCCGGCATTACTACTCCGACTGGGTTTGAGAGCGCAGAACTCACAGCTCCGGTGAACTGGGGAAACCCTGGGGCTGTTAATTGCGGTTGTTGGAAGTTCTGCAGCGGGAAAGAAACCGCAGGCACGGGCGGTGCCATTAACCCCGCGCCGGGGCCGGACTCAAAGCCTCGCTTAGCGCCGATACTCGGGTGCAGCTTCCCCAGCGGGGTTGCGTTGGCTCCCGTTGCCATTTCTGGGCGTCAGGAGCTTCTCTGTTTTTTAATATCTGCACACAAAATCTATATTTCCGTTCTGGAAAATGTATTTAATAAGAACGTATGCCTCCCTAACCTGCAACCACCTACTGTTACCCGCTGGCTAAGATGGCGTCTGCGGAGAACGACAAAGAAGATTTGACGTCAATTTAGAGCTATCCGATTGGTCAATGATGATGTCAATCAACTTGTTGTTTAGAGTCATTGGTTCATTCAGGGTCTGTCGTATTTCTGACGATACATTTTATTGGCCTCTAATTGGTCGAAATAGTGCTGCTTCGCAAGCCAGCGCTAGCAGGCCAAACCTCTAGCAAGGTAGGTTGCTTCAGCACCGGATATCTTTACCTGGTTATCCCTTTCTTTTACTGTCTATGGGTTATCCCTAAGACACATCATGGCCTAATGCTAAAATACTTTCTAAGCAGTTTAAATAACTGTAATACATTGTAATTATTACTTTTTATATTAAAATAAATAAACAGGATGTAAATGTGCTCTCTATCTCTCCCTTTCTATTTATGCCTTTATATTACAATATAGAGAATAATAAGAAATCTGAGAATCTAATATATATTTTTATGCATTTGCACTCATAACAGCAACATTTCATAATTTAATTTCCAAGCTATACAACTTTTTTAATTGAGGCATAGTTGGTTGAATAAAACAATATTGAATGTGTCATGATCTGAAATCATATTTTAATGAATTCAACTGCTGGGATTTTATTTAAATGGCACACATCAGCGCCTAGGTTGTAACCTGTACAACATAACTGGATTTTTTCTTCATTTCTCTTTATGGTAGCAGCATACTTTTTTAAATAAAAAAAGGAAAGAAATGAGGGTAGCCTATGTTTATGTAGCACGAGGTCAGGGGTGCTGATAGTTTTGGATCACAGAAAAAGGCCAACAGAAAAGTTAAAAACAAGAACTGTTAAGAAAGAAAGGAAACATAACAAGTGAACCATTGAGAAATAGCTTCTTTGTGTCTTGTTTAAATGCAAGTAAGAATGTAAATATTGTGCAGAAGCTGATAGATTCTCTACTGAGAGCTCTCCTAGCCTTAGAGAATAAACTAAGAGAAAAAAAAACTTAATAATGCAAGCCTCTTTATTGAGGAAAAAAATGTATATTCAGTTTTCCACCATGTGTGTCAGCAGAGTGCGGGGTAAAGTATTACACGTAACGTGAGTTAACTAATCAGATTACTCTTTTTTTTAAATACCTAGTAAAGTAATACATTCATCTTAAATTTACACCAAAATATCTGAGTTACTTTTTCAAAAAAGGAATGCAAGTTCCAACCACTCCTGTCCCAATGTTTAGAAAAAACAGTCTGCGCTGTTTTTCTCGCAATAATTAAATGTTAACACAAATATACTTTATTTAAACTGACTAATAACTGTTTTTACTGCTGATTTTCTATTATCTACTTCAAGCAAAAATGACATCAAATTTGTGTTTTGTTTTTGTTAGGTGAATTTTTTTTTTTAGATAAAACAAAGGTTTAACTTTTTTAGGGAGTAACGCACTATTGCAACACGTTAAAAGTAACTTTCCCCAACATTGAGTGTCAGTGACGACATTGTGTGTCCGGAGCACCTGCAAAATATGCAAATCAAAGACAACGGCAATGATCTATACAGAAAAGATAAAAAGATAAGTCTTTTTAACTTTTATTATTGAGGAAAAAAATATTTACAGGTATTTGTACTGAAAATCAAATAAAAACCACTGGGCTACATCAAGTTTGTTAAGACAACAAAAGTAGTTTAGTGCCATGAAGTGGGCCATCTGTACTGTCCTTGGATGCATCACAACTTCTAAAATGATCCATGAGCAACCAAGAAACACCTGCAAAGATAAGAGATTATCATAAAACTGTCAATCATTCAGTTATCAATATTGCTGGTTTCCATGTGCCAATACTGCCAAACCACCAACTTGAATTGTTATAAGACATTTTATAGATAACAGAAAGTACTTAAATGCTATAAATTGACAAATCTGACTGAAATTAAAAATGCCAATCTTTTGCCTCTTGGTATTTGTAAACATGATTGACCTGTAACCTAAATATCCATGAGGTCATAATGAGGCTATGTTAAGCGGGACCTTACCAAATTTGAAGATAAATGACACTGATAACAACACTTCAGAGCCACAACTTTTAGGGGCTAGTTCACCCAAATTCCCTTTAACAGTAATTCTGTAAGTTTCAGTCTGACCAAACTTTGCTCCAACCTTTTGTAATCCTAGAAAGGTCTCACCTGAATGCGCACATGTATTAGGCTAGTAAGCATAGCGCGCCCGTTCGGCATATGGATCCCGCGGTATGTCGTACGCAGAACTCCTGGGAATCGAAGAGACAGGAGAGAGGCGCGACCGTTCATACGCATATCCCTCTGCCTCAAGGGGAGCTCGCCGGATTGGGCTCCGTTCGCGGACATAATATGAAGAGGTGGGCGCCGGAGGAGGGGGAAGTGGATGCCGCTCATATGGGTCAAGATTAGAGGAGGACAGGTGCTCTCTCACGATCGCTGAGGAGGACGGGGGAGGAGGGACAGGAGGTGGAACCGCGCGTCTATCTTCGAAATAACTGGCTCCGTACGGACGTGCCCGATACTTCTCGTAGAAGTCCACCACCCCGTACGGATCTCTTTCCTCATAGGGTGCTCGGCGTATCGGGTACGCAGGCAACGCACTGCCATAGGCCACGCCACTGCTCCCATACGCAGCCTCACTGCCGTACGCCGGGGCCATGCTATTATCCGCGCCAATGCCGTAGCCCGCTGGCATACCGTAACTCATTGCACTCTCAAAACCCGCACCCCTTCCATACCCAGGGACGCCATACCCTGCTCCCCGGGTGAAGCCATGTGAGGGTGCAAAGCTGCCACCGTAGGCTGGCTCGCCACTGAAGCCGCGGTGAAAACCCCGGCCACCACGATCGCCACCCGCACTGAACCTGAGGGGCCCATATCCTTCCGAGCCCGGGCCCTCTCTGTAGGAGCCGTTCTGGTCCATTGGGCATTCTTTGGACCAGTGGCCTTCCTGCCCGCACCGATAACAACCCGTTCTCTCTCCCATTCCCGGCGCGGTACGCAGACGGCTAGTCGAAAGCTTCACGCTCATCAGTTTGCCTTAAGGAAAAGAAAGAATTTGCCATGATATTTCTATTTTTTTTAGCATGCACACGGAGAAAACGTTCATAAGGTCAAAGAAGCAATAAATCAAAATTTCACGCTGTTTCAACACTGCTATCGACAAGAACACGGCCAGAATTTGTCAACTGAAAATCGTAACCGTTAGAATTCAATTGTGGTTTTAACATGAAACGCTGTTCAAAACCCATTTCGCTTCAGTGATCTGCCGCATTTCAGAGCGAAACGCGATAAAAGTTTTATGGACGATAAACAAATGGCAGACTTTTTTTTATTTATTCTTTATATAGTCATTAAAGTCCCATTGAGGTGATTAAATCTCTTCTTCCAGAGAGTCCTGGTCACTGGAAGAAGATTTACTTCAAAAATGACTAAAACACTACAAAATATTTTTGTTTTGTATTATTTTTGTATTGCACAGGTGCATTTAGAGAACATAACATTATAATGTAATCATTTTCTGCATTTAACTGAAAATTTTGCACAAACACACACACAGCTCTGCTATCGTTATGTGTGCACAGCCAATATTCATTCTTAAAAGGAAAGTGCTCTCTAAAAACAGTAACTATGGTGCTAATATGTTGTGCATACCAAATTAAAAACAAGCAAATAGCATCAACTTTCAGTTCATGTTGACTTTAAGTGTGCCTGCTTGGTTTTTGATTACTCAATGCCCACTTTGATGAAACACAATTTCCCTTGGTTAAAATAATTTCTTTGAGGAATTGATCAACTGGAAATATTTGGCTGACAAAACTTCTTGTATTTTAAACTAAATCTACCTCCATATAGTAAACTCCAACTAAACAATTCTCTTCCTCTCATCACTTACCAATTTTTCTACTTACCAACCTGTAATGAGGCTCACTTTTGGTACAAATGTGACAAAAAAAATTTTTTTTTTGAGCTAAACTGGGCAAAAGACCATACTGGTTCACCTTGAAAGGCTGTGTTGTCCAAGCCACTGATGGCCTCCATTGCGTCTTCCACTCGCTCCATATGAACAAACGCATAGTCCTTCACTATATCACACTCAACCACAGGTCCATATTCCTCAAACTTGGCCCTGAGTTCTTGGTTGGTGCAGCTACTGCTAATGTTGCCGACATGAAGTTTTGTAGAGGTCTTGGGCTTCCCTTTGCTCATCTCTACGTTCATGGCCAAACCGTTCAGCATGTAATGGTGAAGATTTCGAATGGCTTCATCGGCCTCCGCTTTGTCATCCATGTGCACAAAACCGAAGTTTTTGACAATGTCACACTCAGAGATCTTGCCATACTGAGAGAAGAGGGAGCGGATCTCCTCGGCAGTAGTGTTCGGCGAAAGGTTCCCAACGAAGATTTTTACCATTTTAGTAATGTAATGTCAACTTTCAGGCCCTGTTGGGAGAAAAAGAAAATATACAGTTCAGGTACATGTACTGCATGTCTAAAAAGGCAGGTAAGCTTATACCAGACTTAAATAACAAAATATACATATCAATTTTCTCCCTCCTGCTAATATTAAACTATAAATCTCACAAATACATATTATGTTTATAATTGTATAAATAATATCAATGTCCAATTCTTGAACATATCAATTTGATTACAAGCTTTTCAATAAACGGCTGAATCGGTTCTGAATCTGCTTTTGTCCATTGGGAATTGATTGAATTGTTGGATCCTTGTCGTTTGCAATTTCCATAGCCGCTTTAAGGCCTCCAAGGTATGCAGGGAAGGAGACTAGAGGCTGTTTTATTCAATGGATGTCAATGGAGGAGAGGCTCAACTAAACTGAATAAACTGCTTTTGTGCGAAATCATTAAATCGACAGCCTATCGGCTAATCTGTTTTCCATTAAAATTTTGCATTGATTTAGTTTTTAGAGTTTACACCAAAAAAAATGCTGTTTTACAAGAGAAGTGAAGGACAATTTTGTGACGGGTAGAACTTTACAGCACTTCTCATTTCTTTTTATCGTATCCGCAAACAGTGATTCCAATGGTAGACCCTGCTATCTCCCAATAATAAGACACTGGCTGCAGTGTGAAATCATATACTTTCCAACAATATAGTAGGGGTTAGTATGTGACTAAAAAAGTTGGCCTACTTCTGAATTGACAGTACTCATAAAAGAGTCAGCAAAAAGTACCCGGATGACCTACTATGTCTGGTGGTGAGATTCTCAAATGGACACTTTATTATCTCATGAGGCCACAGGAAACAAGCAATCCAACAGACCCATGTAAGTCACTTGCTAAAGGTGAATTATACATACAGGCAAATAAGTACTTATTTGAAATAAGCACAGTGAGTTACAAACAAAAAAGTATTCACACTTAGTAATAAAATAGTCATATTTTGAAGTATTCACTCACATTACTCATAAAAGAGTTAAAAATGGGGCATACTCATAAAAAAGTACATAGATTAACTACTATGTGAATGGCAGTTATGATACCATGGTGAATGATTTGTCAATTGATTGTTTGTTGATTGATTGAAAACTTTAAAAAGCTATATAAATTAAAAGTTTAATGTAAATGTGCATAGATTCCTAACAACTTTATAAGCTCAATCGTTTCAATAACGCATTAAGTTACAGATAATTAATGAAACATAAATACAAAAAGAAATGTACTCTACAGAATGCTTTATTTGATCGTTTTAGATCATTTATTATGCCACCGGAATGTCAGCGACGAACTGCTGGAAAGAACCGACTCGAGGAGACGAGGCGGGCTTCCCATCACTAGCAGAGGACAATGGGAAAAAGCTACACACGATGTGCAATGATTTACGAGTCGCGCGACAACAAACCCTCTACATGTAAAATGTGGATACTTTGAGACCAGCTTTGTATCTCTAACTAAAGAATCCAGATGATTCATAATGCATATATTATATTTTAATCAAGTTTACAGTCCATCTAGCCCTGCAACAACTAGCTAACCAGCAATACAGGCAAAAACAGTGCAGTGAACGGATGAATCATCACGAAACATCCGAAATGCAAAGATAAGAGATTAGCCGTTCAGTCAAGAGAACATTGCTAATTTTGATAAAGCATAATGGATGTAATTCATACCTTTTCACGATTCTTGCAGGAGCCGGTGCGAGATGAAATGGCGTCGCATAAAGCGTGGCTAGCTGGAGAATAGAAATGCATGGTGGTATACACACTGCCCATCCCCTTTCATTCCTTCACAGTGAAAGCCTGCTACAATAAGCTCGCAACTAGAGCTTTCAATCATTTTAAAACAGCATGTAGCCATATAGGTCGTGTAATTTGTAACATAATAAAGCACCTAATTACCAATAACGACAGGTCAATTGTAATCATATGTTGCATATATTTTAGTATGAAAGACAGACAGTAATTTTGTCACCAAAATATTGGTTTATTACAAAAGATAATTCATAAAACACACTCCTGACTTCTGTAGGAAATATACAAACTACAGAAAATTAAATTTATAAACATCTTCACAGAGCTTCCCAAGGCACCCATAAAGAAGAAACGCCAGTAAACGCCAGCAGTCTCAAAAGGTGAATAAAGCCCTGAGTGAGAGTTGGTAAGCACATCTAATGCAAATTTCCAATTCACTCTCATGTAGAGTCCACCTTTCCATCCAGGTGCATCTTCTTACAATCTAAAGATCTCCTCTCATAAACAGTCATTTGTGTGTACAGAACAGTTTGCATCCCTCTGAAAGCTTCCCAACTACTTGGGTTGTACGTATATTAAATCAGATATTTTTTTCCTTTTCTTTTTTTTTGAAAGACTAACACATCAACCAGGGGAGTATACAATCAAAACAAGTTCAGTAAAATAATTTCTCCAAGATCACAAAATCTCAACAGACATTGGCAGGAGTAACAAGTTGCCTGTTGAACATAGGCCTACTCATTTGATACAACACAAATGAACACGCAAGATGTTAAACTTAATTCGGAACAAGCACCTGAAGCAAATAAGAATAAAAAGAAAAGTGGAATGTTGATTTTTAGAGTTTATTTTCCCAAAAAGCTTTTTGCAGCTGCAGGATTAATTACAATTTGCCACTCCCCCCCAAAAAAACAATCCTGGGATTATCGCCAAAAAGAAACATAACTAGATTGTCCACACAAAACTTAAATAAAAGAAATCAAGTGGCAAGCCCACCCAACAGCTGAAGACAAGTCTTGGAACATAAAAAAGTTAAATAATAGTGGATCACAACTTGACTGGGGAAAATAAAATAAAAAAATAAAGTAAAATTCTTCACAATCTCACAAAGTGTGTTCAATTGCAATTAATAGCAGAGTTAAAAAATATGCTGACATGAAACACCCCACTTTACCTCTGGATACAAGTGAAAAGCAAAGCAAAAACCCAACAAATCACAACTACTAATTTTTGCAATCTTCCGCCTCCATTAGAATGGGGAAATTAAACAACAGTTTACATATTATGGGTAAAACATTGTGCAGAGCTAGTTAGCATTGTGATCGATGTGTCTATCCAATCCTGCATGTTTGAAATCCGACGGATCGTCTGATCGAGGCAAAGTCATAATGGTGGAGCGGAACTCTCGTCACTTGACAAAACCTAAAAAACAGGAACAAATGTTCTGTGAGATGAAACATTTGACAGGCATCATTTTCTGACTGTACTTTTTAACCCGAGTAAACCGGCTTCGCTTACTACTGTACTCGAAACGGCTTACGCTTAGAACAGATCACGCTGACAGATCTCATCTGAGTCAAAGTTAACGACCCGCATTCGCTCACCTTAGCATGTGTGTAGCTTAGTATGCGTATCGAACCCGCTCGGTGTAGTTCTCCCTGGACCGCGGCGCGGCGTAAGTCGATGAGCTCCTTGAGACCGGGGAAAGTCGCGAGCGCTCGTACGAGTAGCCTTCCGAACCGGCGCCCACACGTCTGATTGGGCTCCGGTCCCGCGAGAAGTACGCTGATGCTGTGGAGGGCGGAGGCGCCAGTGGGCGCCTCTCATAGGAATCGAGGCTGGGAGGAGCCAACCGCATCCTTGAGAGAGAGGAAGAAGAGGGAGGGGGAGGAGGAGGGGGAATAGAGAGAGGCCTATCCTCGTAGAAGCTAGAGCCAGCCGGACGAGCCCGATACTTCTCGTAATAGTCAATGCTTCCGTAGCGCTCTCGCTCATATGTGGATGACCTCTCCGGATAGGCGCTCGGTGGCCTGCTGGGGTACCGCTCTCGAGCATCCGCGCCATACTCGCCGTAGCTGGGACGCCGGCTCATAGGTGGGGGAGGGGGAAGTGGCCCTGCCGGGTAACCTCTATTAGGAGGACCTCCAGGGCCACCCATACCGTAACTGGGGCCGCCCCTTGGGGGGCCTCTACCGCCGGGGAATCCCCCCATGCTTCCGCCATAGCTACCGTTTTGGCCACGTCTGCAATCTTTGGACCAGTGGCCCTGTTCTCCACAGACGTAACAGCCAGTTTGGTCTCCCATGCCGGGCGCTGTACGGAGGCGACTCGTGGACAGTTGTACTTTGATCAGCTTGCCTTGTGGAAGGAAGAGAACACACGCAAGACAATGTGAAACTTTCTTCCGCTCACGTAAACCGTCATTTTAAAAGAGAATTATTGCATCACGACAGCCAGTTAAAGGGTTAGTTCACCCAAAAACGAAAATCGTTATTGTTTACTCGCGTGCATGTCATTTCAAAACCCACAAGACTTTTATTTTCGAAGATATGTTTCTGTTCCTCCACTTAAAGTCCACTTACTATATTTGATGTGCTCTGTGTATTGATTGTTGTTTATGTGAACAAAAGCTAAATTAAATCTATTTGTATTTATAAACACACTGGTTTGTGGTGCAAATTCCACCTTTTACTGCACTTTGTTATTCTAGTTATTAACATATCAGCTAATTTAATGAATCTTAAGTCTCACACATTCACAGAAAATGGTTTACTTCAGTGTTGCAAAATAAGGTGGATAATTCTTTAGGACAGTTTTGGTTACATGGACTTTGAATGGAGATAGAAATGTCTCAGGTTTTATAAAGAATATTTTCATTTGTGTTTCTTATGGGTTTGGAACGACACGAGGGCAATTTTCATTTTTTGAGGGAATTATCCCATTAATACTAGTAAATATGATGTCTACTTCCAATTGCCTAGAAATGGCTTCAGTTTAGCAATTACAAATAACTTAAAAAGGAGTAGTACATTCCTCCAATGCTAAAAAAGTCAAATGCAACCCTGGGTAATCATGGATTTCGTCGTTTCACGGTTAATGTTCACCTTGGAAGCTTGTGTTTTCCAGCCCACTGATGGCCTCCATGGCATCCTCCATTCGCTCCATGTGAACAAAGGCATAGTCCTTCACTATGTCACACTCAACCACAGGACCATACTCTTCGAACTTGGCCCGGAGCTCCTGATTGGTGCAACCACTGCAGATGTTGCTCACATGCAGCTTGGTGGAACCCCTGGGTTTCCCTTTGCTCATTTCCACGTTTATGGCTTGACCTTTCAGCTCGTGATGGTGGAGTTTGCGGATAGCCTCTTCCGCCTCCTGTTTACCTTCCATGTGCACAAAGCCATAATTTTTCAGGACATCACATTCCTTTACTTTGCCATACTCGGAAAAAAGAGAACGCAGATCTTCCGCGGTCGTGCTTGAGGATAGGTTGCCAACAAAGATCTTAACCATCTTTATTGTCGTTTTTTTCCTGGACAGAGGGAGCATAGTTTCGAAATGCACGTTATATCAACAGATGTCTCCCTACATTACTGCTGCGTTGGCCTACAAAACGATACACAGCCTAATCCCATCCGAGTTTTAACATCGATTGTGTGGCTGCATGCCAGAATTATTTACGTACAACTCCAGCATTAAAATGCCGTGTGTGTAATTCTCACTGACCTGATAAATATATGTAAAGTTGGAGACCAGGTTCAGTTGTTGGACTTTATGGCGCAGTTGAATTAACTCGCGTTGCTAGGCCACATAACGTTTTCCACGTGACCAGCACACCTAAAGAATTAAACCCATTTGATTTTGTTCTCATCATTAAAGCAAGTTTAACGACCGATACACGATTACGTATGCTCGACGAGCGTTTTTTTGTAGGCCAATTGTGTTAACTAACTAAGCTAAGTTAGCACGACAAACTTACATAAAGTTACCCGCAAGAAGACGTCGCCGTATTATGAAATATAGTACTATAAAAATAATGTTATTACCCCGTCTGCGTCTGTTCAATCGAAACACTAACACTCATGTAATAGCGTTGATTGTGTAGGAATACCATTGCCTTACCGTAGCGAGCACGTACTCTCACTGCCTGCAAGATGAATGAAGCCTAAAATGGAGTCGCCCGCCGTCACTGACAGCACTTCCGGTCCACGAGCTCAGAAACAACCCCGCATGCAGAGCAGTTCGTGTCTGAATCGTCGTAATATATATTTTACCGATTGTAAAGACAAGATATTTAAAAATATGATATATATATAAAAAAACAACACATCAATGAATTACATAAACAACCTAAAGTAGGACTAGTCGTAACGTTACTCAATGAAACATATTCCCTGTAATCATTTTGCTTTTCACTTCAAATATAATTTCTAAACTAAACCATTGATGTAACTATGATATTTGATGTATGTCCACGACTTATCCAGTCGTGTACCTAACTAAAAATAGCCTGGTCGAGTTAAATGAAACGTAGTAATTTCTAACACTCATACAATATACAACATATGTACGCATGTGTATATGGGCACATACACCCTCAAGCACAACTGCCATAATCTTCCATTTTAAAACAAAAACCAGAACAGAGTTTAAGCAGAAAAAAAGGCAGTTTTATTGAAAGCACATCCATTTATTTCATTGCGTGTCTGCAAAGTCAAAAAAAAGAAGCTTTGTGCCAAGAATATTACTGGAAGAGGCTCATGCATTTTGTAACCCACATGAAAATAAATGACAGCCATTACACATACATTAGATTTTATTGTAAAATTTGTACAAGACAAAGATATGAGACAGGGAAAATTGCACGAGTTAACCTTCAATATAAAACTTACCCTTAGCCATGAGGTCATCTTTAAGCATGTCATTACCATAAGAAATTTAAAACATTGATTTAAATGCATATTGTAGTACAAATGCACTCTGTACTATCACTGCAGTCCACGTAGTAAATGTATACCTTAAAATCATGTAGTTATAAAAGCATGCATGCTGCATGGTAAAGAAACTAATGCATCAAGTGACTTACCTGGTATATTCAAACATTTTCAAACTTAGAGCGACCATTTATTGTTTAAGGAAAATATTGGGAAGTCAACCTAATTAATGAACCAAAATAGGATCTGGACAAACTAGGAGTGGTGTAAGGCATAATAGCCTAGAAGACGAAAAGATGGCCATCGCTTGCATATCGCCGCAGCAGCTGCATTCTCCGTAATACTAAACTAGGGAGCCAGATGCTATGGCTATTAATGCGAAATTTGTCAACCTTTAAGCTACATGGTTACTTTTGTGTCTACTTGGGCAAGTTAAGTTTAAAAAAATTGTCAAGAAAAATCAAAACGACGAACCAGGTTCCAGTATTTTTATTAAAATTCAAATGTTTCTATGAAAGAAAAATGATACAAAGTCCTTGAACTGCGATTCTCTGCAATTAAAAATGCACACTACAGAACAATTTCAATAAAGGCAGTAGACGGAAAGGTTTTTATTGCTGCGGAGATTGTATTCTTACTTGCATGCCGCACTTTAAACAAAAGGCTTAGAGAAGAGGAAAAAATTAAAATAAAAACCTTTACACAAATGTATTTTTGGTTCTAAATCAAAATTGTCATAGCGCTTGTTACAGTAGTTTAATAACAAACGATAAGATCATTCCCAATTTTAAAGATAAAAAAAGTACAGTGATACATTGAAGTTCTTTGAAAGAAATTTTTATATGCGTTCCTTAAGTCTTAACCAAACCACCAAGTTAACCTAATTTATGTAATCTGGTTCAGTGCTTTACTCACCCATCAAAATGTCAAACAATAAAAACAAAGAAAAACTAAACAGTTGACAATTTAGCATGACGATTTTAAGCGTGTAAAAGCGGTTTTATAGAATGTGCAGTCCGCAACAGAACTCTTCCACTATGGTGCGCAGGCGAACGAAACGCGCTCTGGCAGACAAAGACGTATCGCGGCACGTGCACCTGGAGACAACGACGACGACGATCTTGTTGAATAATTTACACCTGGAAAGAAAGCAAACCACATGAGTCAAACGGCTGTAGTGCCATCTTGCATTACTGAATCGACAAGCCAAGTTAAACTAAAAAGATTTATTATGCAGTCTATTTGAATTATGCGAAGTGAGATCTTACTAAAGCATACGGTCAACCTAAACACTTCGATACGAAGTTCAGTGTTGCTCGAGCAGTACTTTAAAAAAAAGACAGTAATGGCATTAAAAACTTACGATCCAGGCACTTTGATACAAAGTTTACGGTAATGCTACTTGCGCATCAATTACACCACACGCACAAAAGGCCAAGAACGGCAATTCTGGGTTCTACATTAAGAGGGCATTTTAGAGCTCATTTTTGGGTCGCGGGACCTATTCTCACCTTGGGTTACGAAAGCGCAGGGGTGCACTTTAATACGAGTAGCGCGCAGGAGGTGGAGGTGGCGCCGGCCTGTCAGCATAGGGGTCTCTGGGCCGAGGCATGCTGTACATCGGGGTCCGAGACATGGAGAGAGGGGAGAGACGAGATCGCTCGTACGAGTAACCATTCCCGGCGGGTGCCGGTGGGGCAGGAGGAGCACGTCTGATGGGACTGCGGTCTCGTGCATAGAATGAGGATGGCGGGGGTGGGAGGGGACGTCGCTCATAGGGATCGAGGCCGTTACCAGCCAGTCGCTCTCTCATAATGGCAGATGAGGGGGGCGGAGGGGGAGGGGGGATGGCACCCCCACGACGGTCTTCGTACGAGGAGACGCCGTAAGGGCGAGCGCGATACTTCTCGTAATAGTCGACCACACCACGTTCGCGCTCGTATGCTGGTGCTGGACGCTCTGCATAAGGGGGGCGTCTGGGGGGAGGGGGTGGTGGAGGAGGGGGGCCAGGGGGGTACCCAAAGCGTCCCCGAGGATAACCAGGGGGCTCGGGACGTTCAGGGAAACGGGGTGGCCAATAGCCACCGTCTGGGGGGCCATAGCCTTCCTCCTCATCACCTCTTGGCCGACTCTTTGAAATCTGCACATGAATTCGTTTTCCTGCAAGTTCAAAAACATTTGATGTTTAAAAATTAGACAATGCCATAGATGTGCAAAAATATATGAAAGTGATAAAACTATGGCTTTATACCTTGGAATTCTGTGTTGTCCAACCCCTTGATTGAATCCATGGCCTCATCAGAGTTGCTCATGTGTACAAAGGCAAAGTTCTTGATGATGGCGCACTCAGTAACGGAGCCGTACTCTTCGAACAGCGCACGGAGCTCTTCGTCGGTTCCTTTCTCCACATTGGCAACGTGAAGCTTCACTGGGCCCTGGTTCTTGCCTCGACTCGCTTCAACGTTAATGGGTGTTCCATGCAGCTTGTACAAATGAAGGTTTCGGATGGCCTTTGTTGCACTTTTGCGATCGTCCATATGGACAAAGGCAAAGTTTTTGATAATGGCACACTCAGTGACCGTTCCATATTGAGTAAACAGAGCCTTAATTTCTTCTGCTTCTGCCTGTTGAGGCAGGTTTCCAATGAAGATCTTCACCATCTTAACTGATGTGGAAAGCAGAGCCTGAAACGGACTGTGAGAAGAAGAAGAAACATTGCAATGATTAACAAAAAATAAATGTCAATTATTATAGCTATATAATGGGCTTAGGTTTGTTTAAAAATTAATAAATAAATAAAAAACACGCATAAGAGTGAAAACACCGAAACCACGCCTGGGAGCTGAAGTGAAATCGAAAGAGTTCGACTTCCTGAGAAGCCAATCAACCAGTTAAACCAGTTTATGCAAATGCTTAAATGCATTTCTCCCTACATATATGCAAACACCGACAGAGAAATACAATTCGTTACATAAAGTAGAATTTAACATAAATTGTCGTACCAAGAAGACAATTCTCCTAACGTTATATAGGCCACGGCCTCGTGTGATTACTTAATGCTAGGTTAACTGACTAGCGAGCCTCGATAAACATTTAGTTAAAATTACGGCAAATTCTTTTGAGGATTTATGTTAGCAAGCACCCTTAGCGTCACGAGAATATGAATATAACAAATAATCGTCGTCTTGCGTGCTCGGCGACCTGAGAGAAAAACTTATTTCCGTTGCTACGTTTGAATAAGCTAACAACCGTAGCTTAGTTAGCCGAGCCATCGTTGCGCGTCGTCGAGATAAGTACGATCTATTCGGCTTTTACATGTAACCACATTTTTTCCTACAAACCATAAACACGCTACTTTCATCTAAACTGCTTTAATGAATCGTACAGGATTTAAATTCTAAAACTGACTATTTAAAGGTCAAAATACAAGGAGAGACAATACTCACCGTCCGTTGCTCACCACAATGAGGAAAAAGGGTGGTCCATTCGGTAATATACTTCCTTAGGCCCGCCCACATTGCTGAATGAACCAATAAAATATAAGAATGTGGGTCACGCGGAACGAAACATGCTAGAGTTTCTAGCTGTGGAAAATTAAATGAAAGCCTGGTCTGAATCTTTACAGTCTATGATCTGAATGTATGAAATTACTCAGCTTTGGTGTATAACTTATTTGTTTTTTTACAGACGTCGTAATTGAGCCGCGGTTGTCTCTGTGAAGAAGTAAGATTTATCAGTTTTTATGTCTATGGTCAATTAATTAAGATTAAACGACAGTCATATCATGCGTTCAGTTCAGGCTTACAACATTCTGAATATCGCATAGCAAAATTGTATATATATATATATATATATATATATATATATATATAGAGAGAGAGAGAGAGAGAGAGAGAGAGAGAGAGAGAGAGAGAGAGAGAGAGAGAGAGAGAGAGAGAGAGAGAGAGAGGACCATCTCAAAGTTTCGGAGGCAGTGTGGGTAGTTTGTTAAATATAAGTTAAAGGCTATGTGAAATGTAGCATTCACGATACGTGCTGCTTTTTATTTTGTTGTGATGACGAAACTATGCGACACACTCTTCCTGGAAACCTTTCGTTGTGATTTTACAATTTTTGTAAAATCTGTAAAATTTTTGTAAAATCAGATTTCACAAATGATCATCATAAACTTACGTGGTCTAAAACACATATGGGCTGACTTCTGTTTATTAAAAGCATGTCACAATACAAAACCTGGCGAGTGCTTTAAACGTTTTTTTCATCGCAACTATAATAAAGCATGTCTTGCCCAGGCAAACAATTGGGGAAATATTATTTTAGAAATACAGCAAGAAATAGATAGCGAAAGCAAATATAAAGCAGTTGGGCAACTCCGGGGTTTTTGAGAGTCACGTGGGCAAAGTTGGAAGGGGTGTTGGATTTCATTGGTTCTGATGCAATTCCCTCTTTGTTGGTTGAGCTCACTCTCTCAGTCTAACGATCTACGCGTCAGAACAACAACAGTCCGTTAGTTGATGATCGTTGCATCAGCTTCTGAAGGTGAGCTCTAAAACTTCATTATTTAAAACACGTATTTCACAATATACTTTGTGTTTGTGTTACGCTAGATCTGTGAATCAGTTTTATTCTCTCCTCAGGTCAGAATATTTCGCTGTGTTGCAAAATGTAACTGTTCAGTGATTTACCTACGAGTTGTTGCTTTTTCTTAGGTCTAACTATCAGCAGGGGAATTGAACTCATTTGCCTCCAGTTGTCTCCCAGAATGAATATAAATAGCAAACTCGAAACTGAAGAACTACTCACCTGTCTTCATATACATATCTTCCACCCTAATCAAGCCAGTCGCCCGCTCTTCCAAAACCTGCCCCTAAATCAACAATACATTATGGACGCTGAAGATCCACTTCGGCTTGGCCGTGATGGACAAACCTGCATCTTTGTCCTAAACGACACCTCTGTCTCCAGAAAACAGCTCTCCATACAAGCGTATAGGAAAGCCGGCAGCCATTGCTTGAGCTTCATGATCCAGAACATGAGCCAGAAGGTCAAACTCATGGTCGGTGGGTCAGAACTGAGATACCTCGAAAGAGCTGAGCTTGATGACAAGGTGCTTCTCCGCTTCGGAAGATATGAACTCCTGATTTGGCAAGAGCCTGGAGATTCAGAGCATAAATATGAAGTCCTGTTTGAAACACGCAATACACCCCCTTCACAGGAATTGGGCATAGATGTGCCTTGCAACCCACCTGTTATGGATACTGGTTTGCCATTGAGAAGCTTTGAGAATGGAGGACCTGTAAGCCAAGAGCCACTGGAGTCAGATGAGACAGCTATTTTAGTATAGATATTTTCCAGACCTTGATCTGCACATTATTATTGTTATCATCATGTTATTAAAATGCATCTCAAATGTAACAGACAGATCTGCAACTGTAGACTTATGACGTATAAGTAACATTATACGTTGTTGTTGTTGTTGTTGTTGTTATTTCTTCTGGAATGCCACTAAACCAGTTTTGTTGCCTGTACATATATATTTTGTTTTTAACCAAATTCTATTGGATATTTGTCACTTACATGTTTGATCATAAGACACTTTGTGTTTTCTCTCCATTATTGTTTAGTGTTCATCGCATCATGTGTTTAGCTAGCATTTTTATATTACACAATATTTATTTTATTGACTGTTGCTTGATCAAATGTCATATCACAAACTTTTTAAAAAAATTTGAAATTACAATGATTTAAGGGTTATTTATAAACTACTTCCATAAAGGAATAAACTTCTTTTACATTGCTTTTTGTCCGATTGCATTTTTAAATAGCTATTTGATTGAAAATGTTTGTTTTCAGGTTGATATTGTACATCTAGCATTATACTAAAAAACAAGATACAAGGTCAACTTAATGCAAAGTAAATATTTTCCAGATATTTTAATCAGTTGCCTCAGTATAAAGACTATAAAAAAAACTTATTTCATAATAATAAGCTATTCTTAATTCATTTAAAAAACATGACGTTGTCTTTCTGTGATGGACTGACATCCGTCTCCCCCGTCCTGGTAAATTGAGATTTTAACTATGAAAATATATAGCTCACAAATTTGAGGGTTATTGGCATCAAACGTAAGAAATCCCCTCTTTTAACCTTTTACGATCGAGAAATAACAAGAGAGTTGCTTTTACTATAAACAAAACCATTTAAAGGCAATAATAACTGTATATTCCTTTTTTGTCATTGGTTCAAAATCATGGTTAGTTACTGATCTCTAGATAGCAATTGTAAATGTTTCATTTGGCGGATAATTATACATCCAAAGCAGGACTGTCAAAACCATCGATTTGTATTTCTTTGGTGAGGGTTATGGATCATAGAAAGGTTAATCCCAGGTGACCCCGGAAATGAAACTCACCTGAGATCACAATCTTGTTCCATATCTCTTTTGCACTAAAACTATAAACACACCTCCAGTCCTTGTACTTAAAAACAACCAAGGCACTGATAAGCATCAGCTATGGCAGATAACAGATGATTTACAGTAAATAACGTCAGTGGTGAACAGACAAGATCGAAACTCTCAACTGTCTTCGTGGCGGTACTGATCTTTGTGAAATGTACATGTGAAAGCAGCTAGTATCACCCAGTTTCACAGACAAGGCTTATGCTATTCCCAGACTAAAATGCATGTTTGAGCTTTTTTAACTGAAAGCAATGACATCTCTTAAAATATGTCAGCGCCAATGTTTCGCCAATGCCAAGATGCACACAATTAATGTTTTTTTTTTTCTTCTGGCAAATTTATAAAAGCTATAAATGTCTTAATTAAACAAAAGCCTAATCCTGGCTTAATCTGAGTCCTGTCTGCAAAACAGAGCCAATACATCTTCATGTAAAAATTAGCATATTATATTATTAATATTAATTTCCCTCCTGCATATCCTATATGACTTTATATTTATTACAAAGTAAACATTAATATGTGAATTTGCACTCTACACTCTTAGAAGAAAATGTTCTATATAGAACCTTAAAAGGTTCTATCAGCGCTACGTATTTGGAACCCCTAAAATGTTCTATACACTCTTAAAAAAGGGTTCCTCTGGGTTCTATATACTATAGAACCCTGGGATTCCGTACTTGGCCAATAGAACCTTTTACCAAAAAAAATTAGTTCTATAGAACCATTTTGGAGTTCCAAATATGAAGCGGGGGATGGAACCATTTCTGGTTCTAAATAGAACCATTTCTTCAGACATAGGCTAATTATATTTCAGGTTTAAAATATAGCACTTAGTTCTATCCAATATTGAACTAAACACTGAGACTGACTAATTTCTCACAACAGCATTGATGGTCAGATGTCTCAGCATTATCACACTCCCATTATCATGTGGGTCTTTGGTCAGTGTGCTGACGGTTGTCTGCATGCTTGCATATAGATAGTTGCATGTACAGACTAGTTATTTTCTGATTTGCAGTGCAGTTGATGGGGTTTGTTGAGCACTTGTGGAGAGTTTAGGGGTCTCACTTATAAAACTGTGTGTAGGATCCTTACTAACAGTGTACATGCACCCGAAAGCCAAAAACACTTACGGCAAGAAATATTGCGTACACTAAAACCTGTGCAAAATTCCCTTTATAAATCCCAGTCAGCGGAAGATTGTGCGCACATGCGTCTTCACCCCGTCTCCTCCCCAAAATAACCATATATGGATCTTATATGCATATCATTATATCTTTTGCATTCAAGTGATACCATGTTTAACGGTACAAGACATTAGGGAAACATGAGATACAGATGTGCCAGTACATCATTTAGTAGCCATATCCTTGCCTTGTTTTTGAATAAATAAATGAAGAGTTCAGATGCAAAAGCCTCTAAGTGCCATTTGAAATTTTCTTCTAAAATGATGATTTTTATCAAGCTTGTATATATAAGTTCAGTAATTTCACTTAAATGGCAATGAAGATTACCTATTAATTGTCATTTAAGTGAAATTACTGAACTTAAATATACAAGCTTGATAAAAATGGTCATTTTAGAAGAAAATTTCAAATGGCATTTAGAGGCTTTTGCATCTGAACTCTTCAAATACATTTCAGAGAAAGTGGAAAGTGTTTCTCAAACGTTTCCATTGGCCAAATAGTATTTTTTTTTATTTCTTTATATTTTTAATGGAATAGCAAAGTGGATGCGATGCTTTTGAACAAAAGTTTTCCTGTGGCATGCTGTGTTTTAATGTTTAAATACAGTGAGGATTGCTTAGCACAATTAATTAGCAAGGATGACAAATATTGAATACATTAAAATTTTTAACATCTTGGTAATGATTTCATGTAATTTAGGTGCCATTAATGAGAATGGGATATTCTGTGTATATCAGAAGTATATTCTTTTATTTATTTATTTATTACTAACATGCTCTTTAAATAACAGAAAAATATTGCGCCTCAAGTTGCATTTCAGTTGCCTCAAAATAGCAACACACCTACAATGCACCCGAACACACCTCATTATCAGACCAGCACGCCTATGCTATTTGCTATTTAAAAAACGTTGCGCAGGGAGTGAAAATGATAACTGTGTCGGGCTGAAACTAGCAAAAAAACAACAACAAAAAAACACTTGCGTTGCACCTGGCGCTGCAATGCACCAGGTGTATGATAGGCTCCTTAAAGTGGTTTTCATTCATCTGCCATCAGTCCCTCAGCTAACCATCGGTGACGCCACACTGCTCCATCTCCAAAATGTTTGTACGCATAGTTTGCGTGCAGATGCGCCTACCCTATCTCACGACCAATTCGTACGAATTCGTACGAGTGATTAAAAAGTGGCTAATTCGTACTAATTCGTACGACCTCACTCGTGCGAATTCATACGATTTGTCTAAACCCACGTGACGGTTATGTTTAGGGGCGGGGTCAGGGGTAGGTCATTCGTACGAATTCATACGAATTGGCCAATTCGTAAAATATGTACGATTTAGCAAAAATCGTACTAATTTGTACGACTGAGGTCGTATGAATTGTTACGAATTAGCCACCTCGTAAAATTCGTACGAATTCCCGTGAGATCCTACGCACATTTCCCTGTCGTTTGTTTTCATAAATCACACAACTTATGTGGCATACACCTCTTTTAGGGTCTGTTTGTTAAAATGAAGCCCCTGGTCTCTTGCATCTTTTCCACTAGACAAACAGTACAACAGGTCACCATGTGTCATTGTGCTTTAAACTTTTTAAGGAACAAAAACATGGCAAGGCAGGAAATGTGATGAGATATGTAAAATCAACATATTGCACAAATGTGGAAATGACAGGAAGTGAGAGACCTATCTGAAAGAACACGTCATTCTAAGTCATGAGTAGAAAGTGACTTTATTAGACATCTACAGTTTTAAAGCTTTGAGCAAAGTTTATGAATAAAAGATTGTTTTGGACACCTTTTGTTAAAATGTTTGCTAATTGAGAAAGGGTCAGAAGTGAACTCAGTTTAGGCAACAAAAGCTTGAGAAAACACCATTTTAATCATTATAGAACATAAAAAACAGGGATCTGTGTCTATACCTGCTTTTAGGGGAAAAAAAGAGAAAAAACTTATTTCAAATGTGAAGTTTCACCACTTTTTAATACTCACAACTTACAATGACTGACTGTATTTTAATAATCAAAAGTAAGCCAACTAAACCAGGGTTATAGTGTCATTGAGATCACATCATAGTTTTTATTATCTATCACATCAAGCATAAAGATAAAGCTAATTGCATGAAAGTCCAACAGAACGCCAAACCAACAAAGAAAAACAAAAGTGCTTGACCAGTGAATATTATCTTATAATTTGATATCAGGCACACGTAGTACAGGAAGTCACCAAACAGCAGTTTTAAATGCATTGCTCAAGGTCCGAGGCTAAAGTTTATTTCCACTAAAGTCCTTCTAGAGCCTTCTTTTTTAAAAAAGCTACTTTTATGATGTTTGCCAGTTAGGGGTTGGCAGCAGCCTCCACTCGGTCAGCAAGGATACAATGACACGTCTTTATGGTTACGAGCTGAGAACTATCGAGTTTGCATGCGTAAGACTGAAAGGAGGGAAACTGACGAGATTACAAAATTAACATAACATTACCACAACTACATTTTTACAATATCATTAGCATGACATCAGGATCACAAATACTGTAGGTATGCATACTAAACTGCTCTCCTTTTTTATTTGTTTCTTCATCATCATGTTTATTCTATTTAGACACTTGTTTTCAATGGCATCCACTGTAAAAAAATTTTTAAAAAGCTGTATAAAGTTCCTGGATCACTTATAATTTTCCACAGTTCATATTGTCTGGAGTTTTTGGCCTATACTGAAGTTTCTTGAAAAGACATTTGTTTTGTCAGAACAATTCAAAAACATACAATCTGCAGACTGATCTCATGAAGTAGCGTGTGTATGCCACGCCAATTCGTATTTCCATTTTTGGCGCGCTATCAAGACGCATAATCGCCTTTCAGCGTGTTTATGAACGCCATTGACTTAACGTTATATAAATATATGACTTACCTCAACCCCGTCCCTAAACCTAACCGTCACTGGGGTTAATGGCATTTATGACTGTTCCCTTACCATCCTAGGTAAAAAAAAAGATATGACTTACCTCAACCCCGTCCCTAAACTTAACCGTCACTGGGGTTAATGGCATTTATGACTGGAGATTTAACTGCGTGTACAGACACGCGGAATGACGCGGACGTTAATGGTGTAGACATATACGCATACGCGCGGATAGCTCAAAATGCGTAGAGATGACACGCCACCTGACTCGAAAGTGGCGTATATGTTTACGCAAAAGTCATGATGTCATGAGATGTATGTTTATCCCTCACAGCCTCACTATCATTCCCATTAAAAATCAAAGATGGCACTGCTGTGAATAAGGTCTAAAGCTTAAATAACTTATTCTTCCCATTTCCCTTTCTCCCTCTTTCTTTTCTCTACTTTTCCACAGTAACATTTATGCACTAGCTTTTGTTTTACTCTTGAAATTCTAGCATTGCCATCTTTGATGCACGAAGAATGAATTGAATAAATTCCACAAGGCAAGGCAAGTTTATTTATATAGCACATTTCATACACAATGGAAATTCAAAGTGCTTTACATAAAAGGAATTAAAACAATCAAAATAAATAAAAACAGTTAAGAGTAAAAAGAAAAGAAAGTAATACCCCTATCTGAGAAGGAAGAGGTTGAGCTGGTTTACGGTGCTATTGGACCTCGAGCCCAGGGACGTACTCTGCTGGGGTGGTGCTACACCAGTAATGCCCAGCGGGGCCCCTACAGAGCACGCTTCTGCTGCCCTTAACGACGCTCTCAGTGACTTTTATACTCTCAGCAGTATAACTTACTTCTTCACTCGCCTCATTGGAGTGAAGACTCTCCCGCTCTCCATCAAAATCTCTTCCAGTCAGAGCAGTATTAAAGCAGTTAAAGCAGTACAGTAAAAACAGTCAGACGTACAATGGCACAGTGCTCATTCAGTAAATGCATAGCTAAACAGATGTGTTTTGAGTCTGGATTTAAATGTGACTTCTGTAGGAGCACACCTGATCTCCTCTAGAAGCTGGTTCCAGCTGCGGCTGGCATAATAGCTAAAAGCAGACTCTCCATGCTTAGAGTGAACCCTTGGTATTTCTAGCTGATGTGATCCTAATGATCTGAGTGATCTGTTGGGTTTATATTCAGTGAGCATATCTGCAATATATTGAGGTCCTAACCCATTGAATGATTTATATACCAGTAGTGATACTTTAAAATCAATCCTAAATTTAACTGGGAGCCAGTGTAAAGCCCTGAGGACTGGTGTGATGTGTTCATATTTTCTGGTCCTGCTCAGAATCCTGGCAGCAGCATTCTGTATGAGCTGCAACTGTCTTATGGTCTTTTTAGGAAGGCCAGTGAGGAGGCCATTACAGTAATCCACCCTGCTGGTGATGAAAGCATGCACACAAGTTTCTCTAAGTCTTGACTGGAAACAAAGCATCTAATTCTTGAAATATTTTTCAGATGATAGTATGCTGATTTAGTTATTGCTTTGACATGACTACTGAAACTAAGGTCTGACTCTAGAGACACACCAAGATTCCTGACTTGATTTGCAATTGTTAGACCCCTAGCGTCGAGGTATGCATTCACCTTGAGAACTTCATCTTTGTTTCCAAACGCAATGACTTCAGTTTTGTCTTTGTTTAACTGAAGAAAGTTTTGGCACATCCAACTATTTACTTCATCAATGCATTGGCACAGGGAGTCAATGGGGCTGTAGTCGTTAGGCGATAGGGCTAAGTAGAGCTGTAACACAAGTAACATATGCAGTAAATTGTAGTATTTTAATTAAATTACATAGGCCTAATTGTATTTTAATTAAATTACATGAATGTGTATGGCTCTTACAACGTGAATCTAAAAACCATGATTTTATTTAACACCACAACTTATTCCTGGTTTCACACAAAATGTTTTGCCAGAGGCTGTTTAATTTCTCACTCCTGCATAGTGCCAGATTATCAGACTTCCAGTCAATCTTTCTTAAAGGGATAGTGACCAAAATTTAATCAAGTGGTTCCAAACCTGTATACATTTTTTATCTTTCGTGGAACACACACAAAAAAAAGTATTTTGAAAAATGTTGGTAACCAAACAGTTGACAGGCTCCATTGATTTCCATAGTCATATGGAAGTCAATGTTGCATTTCAACGATTTGGTTACACATAATCTTCAAAATATCATATTTGTGTTCAGCATAAGAACGAAATTCATACAAGTTTAGAACAATGTAGAAGTAAGTAAATTATGACATTCATTGTTGGGTGAACTATGGGCTCTATGCACGGCGGTATTTACGTTAGTCACAAAAACAGATAAAACAGACACCCCTCGTTGTGTTTATGCTTCTTTTTAAAATTATATTAAATAAACATAACTATATATAAAATTACATCTAAACGTATGTACGTTTCATTTCAAAGACTGGAGGACAGTAAATTTTGAAGACTCTGCCATAATCCCGTTTTCCTCGGTTTTCCTCCGCTTTAATCTCCACAACCGGAAATGGACGCGCATCCTTGCGTCAAATGCGGAATTTATGCGTCCATATAGCCCATCCCTTTAAATATCGCTTTAAATCCAAAAGATTTCGCCCAACGTGGGGCTCGAACCCACGACCCTGAGATTAAGAGTCTCATGCTCTACCGACTGAGCTAGCCGGGCTACTGACAAAAAAAAAAAAACGGTTTTATTTTTAAATATCACATATCAGTAAACAGTTTCTATAGATTAAAATGAGCATCGCGTCCTGATCCGCGCCAAGGTTTGGTTCCATACGGACCGAGCCGATGGACATACTTGCACCATTTTACCGTTTCAAAAGATTAAATTGAGCGTCAAAACAACGGAGCGGTTCACACCACAAGTACTCAGGGTTGTTCAAAGTAATGATATTTCGTAGCTATATGTGTAATATTTATTTATCTTGCGCCAAAAATGCTGCATCCAAGGCTTTCTTCTCGTGCGCGTTGCTTATGTGTCCCTCGCTAAAACGATGTAACGTTAAAAACGTGAAGCGCCACAGCCTGCCCTACAATGTAGAAAATTACATGGGTTTTACTGCAGAAAAAAGGTTGTTTTAATGCATTAACAATATCTTAACTGGGAATAAAATAAATCCGTTTAAAAAAACTTATAGTAAAATAGTAGGAACTACTTTTTCATAAAGCCCTACTACTACCGTTTTGACATGCGCATGAATATTAATGCGCATGTGTCTCTGTGGCGCAATCGGTTAGCGCGTTCGGCTGTTAACCGAAAGGTTGGTGGTTCGAGCCCACCCAGGGACGAAAGCTAATTTTGAATCGCCATCTGGTGGTGTTGCACAAAACAATCATACGCGTGCCTGTGTAAACGAGCAACGACATCCAATCAGGATGAGCTACTCCATCTTTGCTGAGCCAATGACATTATCTGACTTCATCTTTGACCATACCAGTTCGCTTAGACCCTATTAAACATAAATATCATAAACGTCATTACTTTATTTTTATTTAAATATAAATATAAAAAGGTAAATCTAAAATTGAAAAAGTATGAAATAAATTATTTGTTTTACAGCAAACTCATATCGGTGAATTTATTTTTAATTCTACTGGAATTTTTAAGTATTTAGAAAATTCAAAGATAAATAAATTAACATAACATAATTTATTTTATTTGTTGATTGAAGCAGTGGTTTTTGTATTCGGATTTGATGAGTATCTGCAACTCTCAAACACTGCCTGATGCAACAGAATAACAACAAATAACCACATTAAACGGAAATAATAAATAATCTTCTTGAGCCAAAATATATTTTATGCACTGTAATCATTTTCCAGAAATATTACTTTTTTGTGAAGTGAGCTTATAAGGCACGGCTCCACTGACCCTTTTGTTCCTAATAAGCCCATTCCGCTAAGAGCTGATTTACATTTATTCATTTAGAAGGTGCTTTTATCCAAAGCAATTTAATTGAACTTCATATAAAATTGCATTTACTGCTATCATTCTACTCAGAACACATCCATTTAATTCATGAAATCCTCATTGAATTTGCCACTCTCACAAATTAATCGTAAGGACTTTAAAGAACTATAGAGCCTTAAAAACCAAGGAAGTCTCATAAGCTTGCTACATATAGCTAACAAATTAAATATGATGTTTATTAAAGGTCTAATCCTTATAGACCATTTCACAAGATGTAAACAACACTGGTCCAGAAGCACTTCCTGTTTCAGTTTTTTAACACTACATAAAAGCTGGGATAAAATACAACCAACAGAACATTTAAAACTGAATCAAAAAAGTTAAACAAACATCTTTAAGATGTTTTCTTTACATGTGAAATAAAGAAAACAGTAACAAACTGAAACAGGAAGTGCTTCTGGACCAGTGTTGTTTACATCTTGTGAAATGGTCAATATGTCATTTTAACGGAAGTCCATTTTAATTTCTATAAGAAAACACAAACATACATTTGGATGAGCCTGATAAGGTCACTTTCTCAATATATCAGTAGTATAAACTGGCTGAGCTAAGGGGCAAAACTTCAAATGGTGTCTATTACTACTTTTGCTATTCAATTTCCAGCAGTCATTTGGATTCAAAAGTTCCTTTCGTCCCTGGGTGGGCTCGAACCACCAACCTTTCGGTTAACAGCCGAACGCGCTAACCGATTGCGCCACAGAGACAGAGATGTCCCACCTCTAAATGCCTAAGCAGTTCATATGCATGTACGCATAAGAAACACTCAACAATAAAAAGTGTTATTACAACAGATATGACCATAGCCCTATTATTACATTTCTTAAGAAACTGCTACATCAAATTTGTCTTAAATTTAAGTAGAATGTTGTCATGTTCTACCATTTATAATGGCTTTGTGTAATGACCACTAGATGGCAGTGCAGACTAATACATAGACAATGGAGCAAATAATAGGCAAGTTCCTAGTTTGGGGTAACGCACATTTTGGATTAAGCACCCACTATCCCACGGTAATGTGAGTGTATTGAGCAGTGGTATCACACGAATAGTCTTGATTAAAACTAATTTGTTTTAAAAGTAGGCTATTGCAGTAACAAGGCAGGTTCACATAAATTCATTATGACAGATGGCGTTTTTTAATCTAACGAGCATCTGGTTTGGTGATGCAAAAACGGACTGTCATGCTTATTGCTTTTTCTTCTATGTTAACTACCGGCATGTTACAAAAAAACTACGAAAACATGTTACTTGTTCAATTAATAAACAGTTTGATGATAATCGACTTTTGCTCCACGATTTTCGCAATGTTACGAGTGAGCGAGCTGCCTGTGACAAGATGCAGCAAGATGCCGGCAGGTGCAGATGTGGACCTCCACTGGCCAGCAGCGTGGACAAGATATGTAACCTATATTATGGATATCTAGTATGGCTACACATACCTCCTGAAAGAGGTCATACCATTTCTTCTGATGGGGAACAGGCGCGTTGCCAGCATCCAAAGGTCATTCTCTGTGGATGCAACCCGTTGAGGTTTGGACACTCATTGCCTTATGTGACTTTGATTGGGGCATTTTCTGAAAACAAACACAAAGAAAAAAAATTCTCTTCTACTTTCAGCATCCAACACCTGCAACGTCTGTGTTTTTATTATTATATACACACTTCAAAACATTTGTTGCTTAAAATTCAAATTTTCTTCTAATTTTGGATCTCAAACTTTTTGACTTCAAGGCATTATTATTTGTTGTGGGCAGTTTCTCTCCAATAATATATTTTAGAGCTTGGCATAACTAGATGGATCTATTTATTATTAAAAAATAATAAAATACATAGTAATATCTTGATTTTTAGTTGCTTTGGGTGCTTTTTAATGCTTGTTTTGTCTTATTTTAAACCATTTAAGTCATCCTGATGACCCCTTGGAAGTTTGTTAAGGCCCCATGGTTTGAGAACCGTTGTTCTAATTTTTTTTTTAAACAGCTCATATTTCATTTAATTGTTTAATTCGAAAACCCAAAGGGATAATTCAACCCTGCAACTCCCATGTACCCTTGGTTTGATAATTTAATAAATCTAGTCATCAATATGCAAGCTGGGCCCCTATGAAAAACTTCTTCCATTGACCCGGCTAGACGAAGTACTGAACTAAAGCTTGCTTCTGACACTGAATAAAAATAAAAAAGGTAACTGTTAATTGCGATTCTGAGAAAAAGTGTTAGTCGTTTTTTTTTTTCCTAAGAACTTGATATTTCACAAAAGTCGTCACAATAGCGCAACTGTCAGGAAAAAAAGGTCAGAATTCGAATTGTGAGATAAAAATTATATATTCAATTCAATAATATGTGTAATTGGTTACTGAACAGTGTAACGTTAATCTAACATGACTACATAGAAAATGTTTAAATAAATGCTTAACGTTAGCTGTCAAAAAAGTTACCTTAGCTTAGCTGTGGAAATTCGGCCGCCTCGTATTCGTAATGGACTTAGCTGCTACGTGAACTGCAGCAACAAACAACTCGTGAATCAAAGATGACAAGTAATTATTAGACGAATTCAGATTATGATGTTTTGCCGAGAACTAGAAGCAAACGTCTTGTGATTGAATAGCAAATGTAAAAGTCTTTCTCATTGACTGCATTGAGTTTTTGCTATAATATCTCACATGCGCCATGAGAGACTACGCACTGGATCTACTTTTCCTGAAGCATATAGTGAAACAAGCTTTGTTCGCCAGCTCTATCACCAGCCCGGCTAGCTCAGTCGGTAGAGCATGAGACTCTTAATCTCAGGGTCGTGGGTTCGAGCCCCACGTTGGGCGAAACATTTTCATATGCAGATTAAATACTTATTGTAAATTAAAGGAGTAAACTTTAGAAACAAAATGTCTTTTGCGGAAGGATATTGTTTTGGTTGTGCTTCGGTTCCGCGTTACTGCGGATGAAATGCTGCCCTACAAAGGCAAAGAGCAGTAACTACACATTTGGTCAAAAGGCTATATAAAATGTATTCTGAATTGTGAAAAAATATCTGGGTTAAATTATGTCCCGTTTCGGAGATGCATTACCACATAATCTACCCATAACATGCTTGACTGGCTGGTACATCTTTCTCATTTTTTGGACAGCCCATCAGATCGCAGCATTTCCATTTTCTCCATTTTACGACAGCCAATCACCGTGGCCCCTTTCCATCATTTCCGGATCATGCGCAGTAAGTCCACCTCCTATAAATCATATTTTTTTAACTTTTTTCATCAGTTATTTTGGTAAAAGCCACGCGAAGTCCGTCATATTTATTTTTGAAAAAGCCGCGTGAAGTCCGTATAAGTCCATAGGTAAGATTACTAGTTAATTAACTAGCTTTAATTCATAGTTTTTTAAATAAACTTTTACATTGTTTTATTTAAGAAGTTGACAGTGACATCGAGGTAAGATTTTAAGTTTACATTGTGTTAGGTAACGTTAAGAGACGTCGACGTTGTTGCTTTGTTTAGTCTCCTAACTATCTTAGCTAAGAATGAATGAATGAATGAATGAATGAATGAATGAATGAATGAATGACAGAGAGAAATTAATGGGTTTAACTTACATTGTTATAATTGGTATAACGTGGGTACAACACCTGATATTGTGTTTGAATTAATGAGTTTTGTGTTGTGTTCAGACTGTGTTTACCAACTGATAATAATCTTAATATGATTGTACTAAATTACTTTTATATCTGCTACTACTATGTATCAATAAACACTGAGGTACTATGCATTAATATATTATACACTGAGGTACTGTGTATTCATATATAATACAGTGAGGTAGCCTACTATCTAATGCCATCTACATACAGGACTATTATAGTAGTGAGTTAAAACTACCCACAATGTGCTGAAGAGTTACAAATTTAAAGTGAATAGTTAGAATTTTATTTACTCTAATGGAAGAAGATGGCATCCAAATGCAAAAAGCACAGGGCTATAAGCTTTTATGGTTTTATAAGGTTAAACCTTCATAAGGTTTTCTGTTTTAGGGGTCTGGTCTTCTGAGGCAGGAAACAGGCCGTCACCCCGCCAGTGAAAGTGGCATGACCTGTATCTGAAGATAAATTTAGATAAAGTGTTATGTGTACAATCATAAAACATAAAGCTATGTCACATTGAAAGGGGTCACATATGATTCACTGCCAAACAATATTACAGTTTGAAAAATGTCCCGTGCATTTTAGGGGACAAATGCCTTTGTTTAGAGGGACACAGACATATATTTGTGGAATTCATATACAAAGGTATAGCCTCAATATTGTCCTAAAATTATGTAGTGTTGATGTTGTTGTCTCTATTATTAAATTTAATTTTCTTTTCCTTTAACCTGTAGCCTTACAGGTCAGTGTCCTTTTTCAATAACACCTGGTCCCTTATCTACATCATCTGCTGCTACACCAGGGAAGATGGCAACACCTGCTCTCACCTCTCACCACAACTTTTACTATGGCATCAGTAAGTAATGAGTATTTACTGATACTGATATTTACATTTTTAGCATATTCAAATATATGCAGTGTAATAATAATAATAATAACAATAAATGTAATAATATATTATTATTATTATTATTATTATTATTATTACATTTAACAGTTTTCCAATGAGGACACCACTGCACCCTCTGCCCCAACAGCTGTGCCCACCAGCCTAGCTTCTGCTCCTCCGTACTTTCTGATCGTCCTAGCCTCTCTTCCCACTGCTACAACTACAAGTCCCTCTGGGACACCTGCCATGACTCCAGCAGCACCACAGCAAGAACTGGTAGGTCCTTTGTGACATGTAAACAGTGTGAAAGATGTAATATTTTTCTGCCTGTGATATTGTTGTTATTTTATTTTTATATATTCATATATTTAACAGGCTGAGGATGAGCGCAGTATCTCAGGGATGGACAGAGTGGACAGCCTGCCAGAGTACTTGGTCGGACTGAGGAATGAAACTGGACAAACACTTAACTCCCAGCAGGCCAGTACCATCATCCCCCTGCCCAGTGGCCAGACTGTTGTCGTGGCCACAGCCAGTATTATGGGTACATATACTTTCCCCAAAATGCTGGTATTTCACTTCACCAGTGGATGGAGGAGATGCGGAGGAAGAGGGCAAATAAGAAATAAACTGTTCAATATTCATCCCATATAGGTCTGGTCTGGCATTTCAAAAATAATTAACATAACAGAAAAAACACTGTATATTACAGTTTTTTGGTGTGAGCCTGATTTTGTCTTTTATATATTTTTGTTACCAGTTGACCAGAATCTTCTTCCTTTATTACTTTTTTATTTGGTTTATTTATTTATTTTATATTTGTATTTTATATTTAATTGTTCAATTCTTTTTTATATGTGCATTGCTTACTGTGTGTGAGAGAGAAATAGATAATTTTGTAATAAATGTTTAATATATTAAAACAGCAATCCTTTATTTATTGCCAACATTCACTCAGAGAAGACAATTACATTGTTGCAGTTCTTTCAATTCTAATTTATTTCATTTTTAAATTAGATTGTATTAATGAATTGGGTATTTTTTTCTCAAGCAAATATGTAAATTACATACATACAAATAACACATATGAATACAGTAATAACTTTTATCATTAATCATTCTGCGAGCCTGAGTCAAAACACTGATTTTGCAAAAATGCACCTTAACTATTTATTATTATTATTATTCTTATAGACCTACATCTAATATACTGTAGTACATTTGAAGGAACTCCATATTCATATGGGTAATAAATAAATATAAACATGTATCCATACAATGAAAAATACGTTTTTATAAAATAAGTGTTAAGGCATAAAAGCACATGAAATTTATACATTTATGTGCATTCATTAAGAAAAGATTAGAAAAGATATTGGGTGATTTCAACCTTGTCAGAGGTGGGATTCGAACCGACGTCGTTCACGTCAGTGATTTATCAATGAAACATATAAAAAGGCAATTTTCTATAAAATATGAATAGCAATCTACCAAAAATCAAACAGACAGGTCAAAGGTGGATTTACCTTTTCCCTTTCCTTTCATTTTTTTTCTCTTTTTTCCCTCTCTTTTCTCTCTTTTTCCTTTTCCCTCTTCTTCCCCTTCTTTTTCCCTCTTCCCTTCCTCACACAAACCATTGTTCCCCAGCTTTTAGCGGAGTCGGTAGCGCATGAGACTCTTAATCTCAGGGTCGTGGGTTCGAGCCCCACGTTGGGCGAAACATTTTCATATGCAGATTAAATACTTATTGTAAATTAAAGGAGTAAACTTTAGAAACAAAATGTCTTTTGCGGAAGGATATTGTTTTGGTTGTGCTTCGGTTCCGCGTTACTGCGGATGAAATGCTGCCCTACAAAGGCAAAGAGCAGTAACTACACATTTGGTCAAAAGGCTATATAAAATGTATTCTGAATTGTGAAAATATATCTGGGTTAAATTATGTCCCGTTTCGGAGATGCATTACCACATAATCTACCCATAACATGCTTGACTGGCTGGTACAAAAAACTGTAAAGGCAATTTTCTCTGTTTCTTTGTTTGCGTACTGCACTTAGCCTTTGTATAGGACAGATTGGTTCTCTCTCATAAGAAAAAAGAAGCCTCTGAAAACCGAAATCTGAAATCCTCTAAACCTTCTTTTACTGTCTATGAAATATACCTGTCATAAAATATGATAGCATTGCAATAACAATAATAATGTTTACAGTGATTTCATAAATTAATTAAAAACATAAAAAAGCAAAATATACTGATGCACATTCTTAACTTATGCTTATAATTGTGCTCTTATAAACTATTCTAACTCAAACTCATAGGGAAAATGTTTTTAGATAAAAATTTAAAGAGTTGTCAGAAGCTAGTGACGTTGAAGTCATTCTGGCGACTGCATTTAGGCCTCAAAATTGAATAAAAGTTGTTTTCATCAGTAAAAATTGTTTTGATGGACAAAACGTGTAAGTATAATAAACTACTATTGATCACAGAGCTGCATTATTATTATTATTTTTTGCGATAATCCAAAAGCCTAAAAATCCTATTGGGTTTTTGTCGAGGGAGCCAATGTGATGCTAACACCCGATTGGCCTACAAAGTGATGTCATACCTGCAACACTTTTATAGGATATATAGGTGCATTTGGCCTGGACACTTTTGACTCCCAGCGAAATGGGAGTGCATGCAGTGATAAAATGCATCTTGAAAACCCTGCAAGTTTCCTAGATTTTGTTAGTGTCAAGTTGGTCACGCGTATTCGCGTTGTTATGCGGTGGTGATGGCGCAGTGGATAAGACACATGCCTTTGGTTTGAGAGACCCGGGTTTGAATCCACTGTGAAACACAAATGTGTCCCTGAGCAAGACACTTAACAGTTAGTTGCTCCAGAGGCGTGCGACCTCTGACATATGTAAGTCGTTTAGGATAAAACTGTCAGCTAAATAAAAATACTAAGGCATTTTCGGACAGGCTAGTAATAGTAACCACCTTCCCTTCAGAGCATCTCCAAATTTTCCTGAAACATTTTAATATGAAAATGATATCAAGACTTCAGATCAATGACCTTTAATTCTTGAACTTTAGTTATAATTGAACACATCAGTCAATAATATGCATTTGAACATGCAGAAAGGTCTGGACATGGGTTAAGAGCTCTGGAACAGTGTGAAAAAAAATCAAG